TAGGGTTTAGGGTTTAGGGAAGTCGACGACAGCTGAGGACATGTGCCCTCCCTCCACTGATCGTTAGTCTCCAACCTGCCCTATCCTCTGTTACTCTGGACATCCCTGAGACCTCGAAACCGTGCAGCCCTGCAGAAGCTCGCCGTTAGTGCCTTAACATAGCGGAGTCCAGAAACCGAATCTCATCCTTTGACTAGTGTTTAACCCCGAAAACGACCACACCTCACACCCTCAGCCTTGACGACACCTGTACTTAGCCATAAGCCCGAACACCTAACTCCCACATTCCTCCAAGGCCCAACCACAAAGCCAAATCTGTAAAATGACCAATTCGTTGCTGGATGGGACGTCCTGATCTAACATATGCCGCAGGCCCTCGCCTCCTGTCGCCACTACATTCTGCGAAGGCCTGCATTCCTAAACCATAAACTTTGAATCCTAAGCCCTGTCTACAGCACACACTGCCCCTGGCGGCCTCCACCTTCTTCTCGACATGGATGACCTCGGCTTGCCACATTAGGGGGATATTAGGGTTTAGGGCTTAAGGGTTTAAGGGCTTAAGGGTTTAAGGGTTTAGGGTTTAAGGGTTTAGGGTTTAGGGGTTTGAGGGTTTAGGGTTTAGGCCACTTCTGGGTCTGCACTCTCTTTGGCCCCTAGGCCCTACGCAGTTTGTGTCTCGTTGTCCGAGGTCCAGTCTCTGTACTACTTCATCCGCAGCAGATTGCCATACGAGCTTAACATCTAATGTTAAATGAGTCTGAGCCATGGCGATGCTCCCTGAGATGCAGCCAGAACCTAGGAGCCTCGCCTGCACACACACACACACACACACGCAGAGACAGACACACACACACACACACGAGTTTCAAGTCCCGTCACACAGATCCTTCAAGCGTTCCAGTGGAAGCACCGAAGTCTGCATCCTTGGTATTCGCAACAGCCAGCATCCTGGAACCCACAAGTCCGCTCGCTCCTAACCCAAAAAGTGCCATCATCAGGCACTCTTGCCAGGGTTGCTACTGCTGGTCATTGTCATAGTTACTTACAGTAGGAATGTCAACATCATGTGCATCTGTGTTGCTGCTGTGGTTAGTGTTGCCATTGTTGTGATTGGTCTTATTGCAACCCATGTTGATGGCTCTGATGATGGCCGTTATCTTTCCATTATCTCGAATGGACCTCCTCGGCATCGACGTGCTTGATGACCGGTACCTCCACCTCCTTCCTGCAGGAGGATTGGGTTTGAGGTTCAGGGTCGAGGCTCTGAGGAGTGAGCATGAAGTTTCGGGTCTCAGGCATCCTAGACCCTAAACCCTAACGAGTTTTGGTTCCGGACGTCGGGCTTCGGGGGAGGAGGATGTTCAGCTTAAAATGGTGCTTTTGCAGGACCAGTATACTGCGGCAACTTCTTGTGCAGGCTGACATCTTGAGACTTTAGAGCCCGGTCTTCAGTACTTGTAGGTACTTGGGATTTCAATGTGCCCTGCTTGAGGAGTGAGGGCTTCAGCAAAAATAAACACCCAGAGAACCGGTGGCCGCTCAATAGGGAACGATTACCGCTCAGTGTTTACATCCCATTACCACTGCACCATCCCTGCTTACAACTGTATGGAATGTACTTCAACAGAGGGCGTGGCCTGACCACCTTGACTTGCGGCACTTCCACCTGTTCAACGCATGTGTCTGTTTTTGGCGTTCGGTGTTGTGCTTCGTGTCTAGAGATTCTGCTGGGATTGAAGGGTTTGAGATGCTCGGTCCGTCTCAGTCTCTAGTTCAGGTTCATGACTTTGGCTAGGTTTGGCTGCCTGGCTCATGACCATTGATCTAGTCGGATCAAAGAGTCAGCTGAGGCCTAGGATACGCAAGAGGCGTCAGCTTGGCTCTGCACAGCAGATTTGAGACAAAGGGTTTGTATAGCAGCATAGCAGTGGTAGTGGCAGCAGTAGTCGTCGCCGTGTTCCTGCTGCTACAACTAGTGCTAGCTAGCTAGCTACTCGCTACTAGCTGGTGCAACCCCACCCCCACCCCGACCCCCTGCCGCTGCCCGGGGGCAAAAACGAATTCGTGTCTGACACTAATTCGTGTTTGCCTCTGCCCACCCCCACCGAGCCTGCCAATGCCCCGGGGCAAAACGAATCAGTGTCAGACAACAGTTCGTTTTTGCCCCGGGGCAGCGGCTGTGGTTGGGGGCAGGGCGGAATAAGCACCGCGGCCAATTTGGGGTACTAGGTACCAGTAGGTACCAGGTCTTAGGTCCTAGGTGGTACGAGGTAGTAGGTCCTAGGTATTACGTACGAGTACTAGGCAGCAGCAGCAGCAGAAGTTGCAGCAGCAGTGCCGACGGCAGCGGTGGAGTTTTTCGACTGCCGTTTGACGCTGTTTGAGCTTGCGGTTCAGCCTTTTAGGCCACTTTCGTGCCCATGCAGGTGTCAAGTCTAGAGCTTCTTCAGGCATTCGTGCACAAGTGGTGGAGCTCTGAAGGCCCGATCGCCTCCACCTACCTGCAAACTGGTCACGTCCAAAAATTGAGATCATCTCAAACCCGCTGTCCTGAACCCTTCTTCCTTCCAAGCCCTAGATTCGAGGCTGTGCGGTAAGGCCTGCCTTCTTCTCCACCTTCTGCACCTGCGGGACATTGCGCGTCACCTGGACCGCGAGGTGAGTTGCAGTTCACGTTTGCGGTTCGTGGACGGTCGAAGGTCGGAACCCTACATGAGAGGAGGCACCGAGGATGCTCCGCAAACTTCAGGGTGCAAGGAAACCCCTCAGACGCTGCTTGGAGGGGTACCCGGTTTGACACTCGATCTTGGAGCTCGAAGAGAGCAAAGCGCAGGCAGTCCTACCTACTCACTACTTTACTACAGCGATGGATGCTGGCAACCCTTCGTGCTCACGGCGCGAACTCTTCAGGGTCAGAAAGTGGATGCTAGAACACGTCATGTGTGACTCCTGACCTGTTGGTCCTACAGCCACAACTCTAGGCTCAGAGACTGCGCGAGGCCTTAAGGCGGAGACTATCGGGTCTCGGATCTAAGGTCTGTTTCAGGATGTTGAGGATTTCGGGCGTTTAGGATGTTTAGGGCTCCGGGCTCCGGGAATTCGACCTGAGGATTTCCGCTCAATCTTGGCCCGAAGTAGGTGGGCTCGCCGGTCCAGAGTCTACGATGCTCGGGAGTTGATCGTTCTAAGTAGCACTCTGTTCAATTGCATCGGGCCGAGAAAGTTCTTCTCCTGCTCCGGAATACCGAAGCAATTGACATTTTGAGGTCAAGAAGCGGGGATCTCGATGTCGACGATCCGGTCGACAAACTGGATGCACGGCCTCAGGCAGCTGGGGTGGAATTGGGTTTCGGGCCCTTGGCTAGGGCATCTAGGATCTGCTGAAGGACTGGATTCGGGCTTCACTGCAAACCCAATCTTTAAACCCTAAATTCCGAACCCCTAAGTAGCTTCAAAGCCTTCATCTCAAACCCCAGCGCTTCGGATGCCGTTGACTACCAAGTGCCGGACACCTCGATGCGTCGCGTCTGCTTCGACTGGCGCAGGGGTGGGATGCTGCGAGATCTCTAGAGGATGCTGGATACAGCGTCTAAGTCTAAGGCCCCTGTGCCTTTTACTCCATCACATCGCTAAGGTAACCAAAACCTTTGTCCGAAGTCAGTGCAAGAACCAAAGCCTTGACGCAGCACAGACGCCTGAACCTGCACACCCGAAACCCACATCCACTTCAACATCCTCATTGAAACCCGAAACCCTGAACCCCGCGGCGAAACCGCCCACGCTCTAAATCGAAGCCCGAAGCCCTAAACCCCAAGCCAAGACTGGGAGTGAAGCCCAACAGGCCTGCACCGGCACAGGCCGAAGCTTTTGCACGGGAACCTTCACCTGTCTTCGGGTCCACGTGGAAACCCTCACGCCCCAAAACCCCTCAACCCCAAACTTAGGCATAACTCACATGCATTAGGAGGTCGGTGGTCCAGGATTCCTGGGCTGGGCAGCACCCACAAACCATTCCGGCTATGCACCTGAAGCTCAGCAAGCTATCCAAATCCTGGTCGGCCTCCACGTCCTCGTAGACGATCTGCTCGACCTCGACATGCTTTTGGGTCTTGGTCACCTGGCTGCTGCATCATTTCACTGACAACCCTACATTAAAGCACAGCATATCACAGCATGTAGCCGTTCTACACATGTAAGACTGTCCTACATGCACCAGAGAACCACACCATTGCAAAGACTCCTGTGTTGTGTTGTCATCGCGAAACCAGACAGCATCCACCTCGCCAAAAAAACTAAGGCATATGAGCCACCTTGTGATCGATGTGATCGGGGCTAAACACCCATGGTTGCGGCACCTAACAGCTTAGGATTCAAAGGGCTTTACCGTGTATCAACACAAAACCCCTAAACCCTAAAACCTAAACCCCTAAACCCCTAAACCCATAAATATAAAATATTACAGAAGCAGAGCACTCGCCTTGGGAACCTGGACGGTCTGCGCAACGGGGATTTCGACCACTTTGTCCTTCCGCCGGCTCGCACGGTGTAGGGTTTAGGGATTTCGGGTTTATGGCTTGGGGTAGCGATAGTGAACTAGCACGGATCTTGCCAAAACATAGTGGCAGCTAGTGTTGCTGAAGCACGGGCAAAGATGGGTTGTAATCTAAGCTTCGGCCGTCAAGTCGCAATTCCTGGTCTGTGCATGTAAGTTTTTTCTCCGTGTCATGACCATACGGCGTGTCCGGTTGATGTCCGAAACCTTTTTCTAAGGATAGCCATAATTCAGCAAATCTCCCGCGCTGCAGCTGTAGATATGAGCTCTCGGTCTGGTTAGTCACTCCGCCTGAATATAGCGATTGAAAACTGCAGCCGCAGCAGGGAGTGAATCCCTACGACTCTCAACAGTTGATGTCGCGAGCCAGCTTAGAGATTGACAAGTCTCGCTTGCGAAACAGTAAAGCACACCCCTCATGGATTCAAAATCCCCAGTGGTGCGGCGAGCCCACACACTGGGACAAAACACTTCGTGAGTTTGGCAACGCCTCCCAACTACGAAAGCCAGGCTCTTACGAGAGACAGCAAACAGAACTGCCTTGACCCTGACCTGCTGCAACACTTCGTCAAGCTTCCCCAGCTTGCGCAGACACCGGACCCAAAAGCCTGACCTTCGTGCTCTGGGGAGGCGATTCCCGTCTATGCCTGTGCAACATCTTTGCTGCAATGCCGGTTGAGCCTCTTCACTGCAAGTCATGTGGTGTAAGCACCTCGACTCATCCCATCAGCTGCATTGAATGCCCTTCGGCACCGGCGGACATGGCAGGAGCCGTTAGCAGCACCGGAAGGCACACCAGCATCGCAGCTGCGACCTCCGCCAGCAGCGCCAGCGGTGGAAAGATGAAAGGAAGAAGAAGGCCGACATCCCTGGACATCATGACTGTCTCCCGAGTCTTCCAAACCACCAGCAGGCCTGCCACGGCTCCGAGGATGGCGGCCACGAGCGCCAAACATGCCCTGGGCGTCGAGGCCTTGCGGCCGAAGCGTGAGCAAATGACAGTGGCAGCTGCAGCCCCATATGCAGCTGCCGATGGGAGCAGGAAGAGCGCGAAAGGTGCCCAATGGGCTGTGGCAGCGAGCAACACCAAGCTGGCGGTGGTGCGATGGGAAGCCTTAAAGTACTTGGAGATGCGTGGGTGTTTGCGGTAGAAGGCCACCACTGTGTGCACGAGCAGCATCAGTGCTGCGATTAGCCCCAGCAAATAAAACAGATGATCTCCGTTCTCTCCTGAAAGTTGGAAAAGCATCTGCAGGCCGCTTGTCCTAAAGACGTAGATAAGCTCTCCACAGGCATGAATCGCAGCCCAGCCGGCAGTCCTCCAGCCCAGGGCCTTGTGGAGATCAATTGTACCTTGCCTTCCCAAACCTATGAAGGGACCGACAGCTTGGCTAACAGGTACAGCCAACAAGGACAGGTGCCAGCTGAGAGGAAACGCCGCTGCCAAAGCAACGGCCAGGAGAACACCAGAAAAACTCGATTGGTAGAATGTGTCCGCCAGCATGTAAGTCAACGGCATGGCAAACCAGAGGACCGACAATCCTGACCAAATGGTAACAAGAAGGCCCACCTCCGCTGATGCCACTCGATGATTATCACCATCGCGGCCTTCTTCTTCAATTGGAGTCTCACCCTTCGAAGAAGAGACTGACATGCGGAGAGCCCCCAGCAGAAGGGGGGAGATCCATACCAGAAGCACTACAATGGCAAAGCCAGTCAGACCAGCCCACACACCAGGCTTGAAGCAATAACTGCCAGCATGGCCTGAAAAAGTGCTGCACTCGTCCGGGTTTTGCAGATTGCACAGTCCTCCGATCCCTCCCACGCCTCCAACATTCTCGCCCAACCTCCAACATGCATAACGCAAGGGCTCGTACAAGCCGGCTGCGAGCATCATGAACTTCCAGGAGCCTGCCAGTGAAGGGTAAGCTTTACTGCCCGGCATTGCGAACCGAATCTTTCTTGTCCAGAGTTGATAAACATGAACCAACTTGAGCCTTAATGGCCTTGCAACTGCAACTTTACATCCACATCCTGTCGCATACATCTTGTCACAGCACCAAGGAATGACCACCCAGCCTGACCCCTACACTCTAGACTCAAGACCACGACCTGGTGGATTGCCTGGGCCTGAACTGCGAGGACTGAAAGGTTAAATCCTGAAATCTGTCAGCCCACAAAGCCAGACATCGACGGCCTATGGATGCAGAGGAACAAAACTGAGCACAACTCCTGGTACACGATTTCTGGAACCTGTGCGGAAGGATCGGCTTTGGCGGCTTTGGGCTGTGAAAGAGTTCGGTGTGGCGCGTCTACGGTCATGGGGCCAAGTGCTGAAAAGTTTGACATGAACAGCATCAAAAACCCTTTTATGCCAAACTTGGCAGTCTATGGCACCTGCACATTTCTTGGCTTGTCAGCCCCATTGCATCCTACCTCCCACCTCCCCCTAGCGCAAAGCAGGCCGGAGCTGAAGGCAAAAGCCCGTGAGCAAGTACGCGGATCATTATTCATGCCAGCTGGGTGCCAGTTTTCTTTTGAGAGTGGATACAGATTAGCAGAAGCTGCTCAATGGCCCGAATTTCCTGCACCGATCCTTTGGGGAGTCTGGTACGCAGGCGAACCAGACTAACGCCCTTGAATCACTGAAATGCACACGTACAAGCATGAACGTCCAACGCTGCAGCGCCTCAACGGTCTTCTTCACTTCCTTGCAGGTGCTCGGGCATCGCATGTCTCCATCCCCACTCCAGGCAGGTGTCGTTTGCTCTCGCTGTTTTGTGCATTCGTGTCCGGCCAGGTCTAGGACACATATCGGGCAGATAAGCATGGCTCCCAAGCAGCCCCTATGCAGTCAACAAAGAAGCCTCTGGACCGAGAGCATCGACCCCTTTGGGTGGAGGATTCGAGTTGATCGAGCACCCGTCTTCTAGTAACCGGAATGCGACTTGAATGCTGGACTGCAACCGAAGAAAACCTCCAAATCAAGAAGCCGATAACCGGGGCCTCCAAGTCCCCAAGCAGACCTTCCACCACAGGTTCATCCAAGCCCTCCGAAACTGAAGCACCCTTGGCAACGAAATCCGAACAGCCACTCATCATGCCGTTGGAGTCCAGAAAAGCCTACCCTGAACTTCGAACTCTCCGGTAACCGGACGAAGCCGGACCCACCACCGGCGGAGCACCTGAATCATCGGCACCTGCCGCACTCGCTGCACGGGGACGTGGACCTCCGTGGCGCAGGATCCCTTCTCAAGAGCTCCATGTCCGCAGGTCGGAACAAGAAAGAGCCCCTTTTCGAGAACAAGGCCTTTTGAGATGGGAGTGCTCCGAAGCCCATGGGCAAATAAATGCCAGTCCAATGCTTGGCTTTGCAAGCCCTCGAATTGAGGCGAAGGCGGGCTTGTCGTCATACTCGATCTTCGGAACCTTTCACAGCTCACGGGTCAAGGAGGGAGTTTAAACATGCAGGGCCATTCTCCCCCAAACCCGACCCAATGATGTAGTTTCGAGGTTTCCTGTATTTCTGAAACAACATGCTACACGCCAAGATCCAATCTTGCAGTCGTGGCGTCACACTCCTTCCACGATTCCACACGTAGAGACAGACACGATAGAGTGTGGCTGTCGTTTGATGTTTTGATTTGTATCGACAAGTTTTGAAGACTTCAAGCACAACAGGATACTAGCTTCAAGAACATGTTCCTGACAAAATGCTCGACAAAAACACCCACACACAACTAGAGCCTCACATGCCCCGCTTTCGCCCTGCATGTCACGGAGCCTCGATCGTCTTCTGTACCTTCTGCACCTGGACTGTTCGCACTCATGGAACAAGCTTGAACGCGTTCGCTTGGCTGTTGGATGGATTTGTAGTTTGTAGCTCTGGCTTGCGATGAAAAGGCAAAGCAGAAATCGTCGTGACTGGATGGCTTCGAGAAGGCCGGCTCTGGTGGGCCGCAGAGTAGAGCTTGTAACGTCGAAGTAGTGGGTTCGTCTGCGACTGAGGGTTGAGATTTTGCTCGCATCACTCCCATAACCAATGCTGAGACTGGTCTCCCATCGATCCTGCCATGTGCCCCTAGAGCAAACAGCCTACAACACTTGCAACATTCACTAGAGGAACTGCACCTGCCCCCTCCATGCGAACTCATGCGCCATAGCTCCCTGATCCCAAGAGCTCTGCATCTTAGCCCTAGCCGCAGCCTAGCCCAAACCACTGGGCTCCATCAACCAAACGAAAAGATCCGAGACAATGAAATCAGAAGGAATATGTTTACGTCCAACGGGACTGCGCCTCCGGGATGAAGACCGGATTCCTCTGGATGCTTTCGGTTGGAACGGGACTGGGAGGCGTAAGCTTTAGTTGTTCCAAGGATAATTACGACGAAGGTGGAAGCGGTGCGGTGCCGTTGACAGTAGTAAACCCTAAGCACAACATCGAAGAATGTGGGAATTGGCACTGTGTCTCTGGCGGCTACTGTGCGTTTAGTGCTTAGGGTTCCTAAACCCGGAATCTCGTTTGAGATAGCGTCAAACACCTATCCGGAACACCGCAGGATTCTCTACCTTGACTACCTTGTGAGAACCTCCGCGCTCGAAGGTGGCAAAGCGCGCTCGGTCAACGGCGGTCTATCGCAAGATCCAGGCCGAAAGATTTGATCTGTTTGGAACTGTCTCTAGTCTGGTCAAAACATATTTGTGGAAGTGTGGGTTCTGCGAAGCAGGATCTGTGAAGGCACCCCGAAACCCTACTCCAAACATGAAGGAAAGCGTCAGGTGCCGCGCTCCGTGGATTTGTTTGAGCAGTTTGCTCCGACATGTGTGGGAAACCTCTAAGACTCTAGGAACATTACAGCAGCCCCCAATCCGTTTTCAAGCGGACGCTGGCACTCCAATATGTGGAAAACCTCTGGGACCACTACAGCCTCTCCATTCCGACTTCGGAAGGTGACACCACAAAGACACTCATAGCGGCCCCAGTCAACCATGCTTGTAAACCCCTGGTCCCCAGCTAACAGGGTCATCAAGTTTGGGGCCCCATGATAGAACGTCAGGAAATCCAAGACCCAGTTCTCCGAGGCGCTGGATTGGAACATCCACGAAGCGATCCACGTACTCAATGTCCGGAACCTCTTCAGGTAGAATTAGAGGGACCCAAGACCCTAGCAGCTAGAATCCCAACAGTCGAAAAACACCTTCCCGGCACCCTGAACTCCTGTAGCCCGATTACACAATAACTTTTGAATTCTGCAACCACAGAACACAGAGTTATACCATGTCATAGCTTGTGAACCGTAGTTATGCTGAACCGCGACACCTAGAGCGCTACATTGAACAATTTAGGCCCAAAGCCTCAGCTCCTGGCCCCCACAAATTCATGGTCCCGCAACTCATCAACGCGGGCTCCGTACCAAGTTCCACCCCCTTGCAATTCTGAGAATCCCAATCTCAACCCTGAAGCGAAGACCCTGAAGTCACTCCAAACCCCCTATACACTTAACACCCCAAACCCTCGACCCCCAAACCCTTACACCTTGAACTCTCAACTCCTGAGAAACCTTAAGCTGCTTTACCCACAATTGCACCCGGAGCCCCTTAACCTCAAACCGCAAAGCCTGAACCTAAATCGCTGTAAACGGAAAAAACCTGAAGACCCTAAAACCAGTGGGCCCTAAGTTACTAAGCCTCCCCCGCAAATTGCAACACCAAAAAACAAAAACGGAAACCTGAAAACTCAGCCCCGTGCCCCCTAAACGCTGAAACCTGAGAGCCTGAAACCCCCAAGTCCGCCAGAGGCCATAAGCTGCAATACCCTGCAGGCTCTTGAAACCTAAAGCCAGAGAAGCCCGAACACGGGCTTAGGGTTTAGGGTCAAGGGTTCAGGTAATCCAAACCCCTAAACCCAAAGTCCAGGGCCTGGAAGCCAAACCATCGTGAAGGACCCAAGCCCTAGAACTCTAAACCCTAAAACCCCACAAGCCTGAACATTTCAAGGCCTCAATGACTCAAGGCGGCAAACCATAAACATTCTAGAAAACCCAAAGCCCGAAACCCGAAAGCACTGAAAATCCTACACCAAGGCCCTATGCTCTAAAGCCGAAACCCGGAACCCAGATCCCTAAACCCGAAACCCCTGCCCTAAACCCTAAAACCCCAAAGCCTGAAACCCGAAAGCGTTGAAAATCCTACATACACAAATGCCCCATGCCCCTAAACCCTAAAGGTTTTGGGTTTAGGATTGTTGCCTAAACGCCCTGAACACCACAAACGCGCCAAGCCCTCCGGAGAACCCCACCAAAACCCTGAAACCCTGAAACCCCAAGGGCCCCAAACCCCGAAGCCCTAAACCTGTAAACGCCATGAACATGGCATAGGCCTTAAACCCTGAAATACACACCCCGAGACTGCCCCTGAGATCCGAACGCCAAACCCGAAAACCCTAGAATCCTCGGAACCTAAAACCCGAACCGCCCGAACAACCCGGGAAACCGCTGGCCCTCCCAAACCCGAAAGCCCTGAACCCTAAACTCCCAACCTCCAAAAACCCAAACCCGAAGGCCCTAAATGCGCTGCGATACCCAAAGCCCGAAGCCCTGAAACCCTCAAAATCTTAAGACTAAAACCCGGCCAAAGAGAACCCGACAGGTCCTACACCCTATAAAACCTTGAACCCTAAGTGTAAAATTCCCAAACCTAAACCCTAAATGCCCTGAGACTTAGAGGTCCCGACCCCGAAGGCTGTGACCCGAAATCCGAAGGCCTAAAGCCCTAAACTTCAGTCGAAACCCTAAAGCTCTTGACCCTAAAACCCCAAACCCAAAAGAGAATCTGAGAGGCCCCAAACCCATTGAAAATTTTATACGACCCAACCTACTTAACCGGACCCACCAAAAAAACACACGAAAGACCCGTAAGTAGCCCCAAACCGTGAAACCTCAACAC